ATCCCTCACTTGGATGTTCTGTGCCAGGGTTGGGGGGAGGTAAATTCTGTGTGTTTGGGGAAAACAGGGAAGGACAAACACGTATCTCAGGGTCCAGGTGGCACTTCCCAGGCTGTGCTTCGTGCTGCAGGGATGGTGGGATGAGAGAGGGGATCTGGTGGAATTGGTGTGGAGACCCAGGCCATGGAGACTTGTCCATGGAGTCCCTGGCCAGGGCTCCTGATGTTCCAGCCCTGAGGAAGGAGCCTGCTTCTCCTCAGGGGATGGATTTGACCTTCCTGTGCTGCCTGTTTCTCCACATCCCAGGGTTCTGCTCTGTTCTGTGGCCCTGGAATCCAGTGATGTGGGAAATCTCTGGCACTGGAGGTCACTGGTCTCCTCCTTCCCTGTGTCCTGGCCCTTTGGGAGTGGGGGAATGAACCAGCCCATTAACCCGGGATCTGTGGAGGGTGAGAAGCTGCTCCAGCATCATCCACCCTGTCACTGGGAACTCCTGTTTTCCAGGAGGGATCTGTTCCCTGGTCATGGCCTTCCCTGGGCAGGGACATGAGGCTGCAGCTCAAAAGGGCCTGGGCTGAGACCCTGCCCTGGGCAGGGACCCCCCTGACAGGGACCTGATCCATGGGGTGGTTGGTTTGGGTGGGAAGGACCTTGCAGATCATGTAGTTCCCTGAGCAGGGACCTCCCAGCAGCCCAGGCTGCTCCAAGCCCCACCCAACCTGCCCTTGGACACCCTCAGGGATGGGGCAGCCACAGCTTCCCTGTTCCAGGGTCTCCCTACCCTCCCAGGGAAGAATTCCCTCTTCATGTCCAACCTCAGTCTCCCTCTGTTCCAGTTTTAATCCATCACCCCATGTCCTTGTCCCAGGTCCCTCCCTGCTCTCCTGGAGCCCCTTCAGGTCTCCCCTCCTGCTCCTGAACTTCCCCTTGGTGTGTGGACCAGGAAAATGACTTGCCCAGGGCCAGGAGTTGGTGGCCACACTCCCCTGTCCCCAGCACCTCCATGGCCCTTGTCTTGCTGGCTCTGCCCAGTTGAGGGGCTTGGGAAGGGGTTTTTCCCTGTGAGCAGAGCAGGCCCAAACATTCCCAGCAGGAA